TTTTTATCTAAAATACTGAACAAAAACTACTTTTATATATAATTGAAACGGCTCGGCGCCACTTATATTTTGTATTTCGACTAAAAGGAAGCTTTTAGCGGCTCTGGCCAGTAAAAAGGCCAGGACCTAAAACGTCACGATGTCGTCAAATATCGCGCGTTTTTAGCACTCCGGGTCGCCGCCGTAGATGGAGGAGGTTTTCGCGTCGTCTGGTTAAATATGACTCACTGATATTTAAAATCTTTCTCCGCGCCCGCTGACTTGCCCAAACCCCAAGAGACGTGGAAACCGCAAAAAAGGTATACGCTTAAATATGATTGCAGGCTGAGGCCTAGAAAAGCTGCAGTGCATCAGAGAAATTGCAAACTCTGAAGTGATTCAGTGCACGCAGGGACAAAAATAGACGTGCATTACGAAATGTATGTTGTGTCACCTTTTAATCTTTATGCCACAGAAAATTGCCCCCGCCAGACGGCCAAGCTGAGAGAAAGCACTCTAAAGGGAAGTTACGAGACGCCACGTTTTATGCTTTTTTTTTTTTTTATCTATTTTAACTATTTTTATGCTCTGAAAGCTAGTCAAGGCTCCTAAACTAAATGAAGAACACGAGGGGCAAAAAATGACGCAAACTACATCATTCCATTTTTTTTTTTTTTTTTGAGGCGTTACTTTAGCTGGCGGCAGTAGCCACTTCAACGAACACTTGGTGAAGGTGCGTGACGTCACGGATGAGACGCGCAATCCTTGTAGTTCTAGTAGGCATTAAAGAGACCTGCGCGTTGTTATGAGACGTTTCCCATAATGCACCGCTCGGTAACGCCGACGCCGCTCATGTCGGAAACGATCGCCTAAGTGCTGCGCTCTAAAACAGTAATTTGTGTAAGGCTCTCCATATCACTTACCATCTGTCGAGGATAAAAACGTCGGAAGATTTACAGAGCATCTTGCAGATCATTTGAGGGTGCGTTGCTTTAGGGAAATCTGCCATTTATTTATGTTGTCAAATCTCCAGTCAGTAATTGAATATATTTTTATTATCATCAATAAATTTTACTTTCCTAAAAAAAAAAGGCTTGAGGTACACCTAAGCAGAATGTGAAAGCACGCACACCGCTCTTCGCTCCCTTTTTCGTCTGCGGCGTACGACGCGCTGACCTTGCGCGTGGAACGGTAAAGCTAGAGCACTATATAGCTCCTACGGAGCAGAGTAGCGCAATCCTTTGAACCCCGCGTTTTGCCGACAACATGGCCGACAGAGCGGCTCGGCGCGAGTCACGTGGTGCTCAGGGTTCCAGGAGGCGGCCCGCCCTATGGGAGAATACATGGAGATCGACACAACACGGCTGATTAAAAAATGAACGGCGAGTCCACACTTTTCAAAACTAGTCTGTCGTGAAGTTAGCAAAGCACTAAACCATTTATCAAAGTTTTAATAATATCGGATGCGTGTGAAAATTTTGAGAAGGCAATTTCCAAGGCAATGGCGTTTGAAGCAGACGATTTTTGCTCGCAGCGGAGATGGGCTTTTCGGGTTGGCCGGAGCGGGTCACGTGAATGGTGTGACGTCGCCGTGTCGTCTGCTGCATGATGCCGCTCAGACAATTTTTAAAAAAAAAGTCACGTCCTTGCGGGGCACAAAACTTAGCACAAATTATTCTAAAATGTTCCATTGTTATGTCAAAAATAATTGCCATTCCGTACAACCCCACAATACTGAAGAAACAACGATTTTCTCACGTTCTCTATGCATTTCTGACCACAGTTGGAACCTCCGGGCGTTCGCCGCTAGTCGCCGAGAGGCGGCGTTCTAGATTGCGCTACTCTGCTCCGAAGGAGCTATATAGTGCTCTAGGTAAAGCCACTGCCTCGCGGACACGCAGCGCCATCGGGTGAGCGATCATTCAAACTGATGCGCAGCGGCCAATGAGAGCCTCGTCGACGCGCGCCAGAAAACGGGACCGAAGCCAAAAATTCATCAGCTTTACTTCGCTCCTTCGGGATCGGGGAACGTAGGTACCGTGTCTCGGCTTTTCATGTGATTTCTAAGCTGGGAGCTGGCTACACTTGGAGAAAGTATTTAAGGTGCCATTTTCGCGCTTCGGATTGATGACATCGGCTCGCTCCATAAAACAGTTAATGTTTTCGCATAAAAAAAAAACGATTTTGGAATGGATAGAGTTAAATGCAACAGTTCAAAGCGAGATATCTTTAAAAAGGGCCAGGTGAGAAAGGCGAAACAAGAACTGGCCCAAATGAGGAGGGTTGAGATGCATAGCACGAAACGGGAAAGGACTAAATGCAAAAGGTCAAAGCGAGATCTTTTTGGGAGTGGTTGTTTTGAGAAGGGACAAGTGAGAAGGGCAAAACGATAACGGGCTCAACTGATAACCACCCCGCAATTAGAACAAGCGGTCACGTGATCTGACACTAATTATATATCGTCAGTGTTCATCATAGTCATGCGATGGGGTTTGGAAATCAAAGAGCTTGTGCTGAGCTTCAGATATAGTTAGAGTTGGACTATTATCACATTTAATTGAACACGAGTCGTTACCCGAATGCTTGGCGATGCTGATTGCCGTGAACCCGAGCACTTGACTCCAGGCTATGAAAATTGCGTAGGTCGATCGCGGTGTCACTTGACTCTAAGTGCAAAAGTTCTGATGTCATGTTACATCACGGTGTCAACAAGATTAATAAATCTAGTGGCTTTATCAAAATTAATCGACTTGACGCAGCGAGTCACGTGACGTCACTGACAATACTTGGCAGCATGTAACACATGTTTAATCACAGTGCCAATACAGAAGCGCCACGAAAACCCACAATTTATCATACATTGCAATTCTCTACATGTCGATTTGATCAATACCTAGAAATACAGCTGCCAATTTTTTTATTCCCAAACAATAATTTTGTGATACTAACAAAAGAGAAAAAAAATTACCTTGAACCATTTTGAACCGGTTACCTTTATATTTTTTCCCAGTTCCGCAGTGATGGAAGCGGCACTTGACGTTTTGGAGCGGGTTCTGTAGCAAGCAAAATATTCGTTTGGAGCAGCCACTGTTGCTTTTGGAGCAGATGCCAACGTCTGTTAACATGTCACTTGAAAAAAAATTTGATTGCACCACTAAACGAGTTTATATTTGATAATGGCTGAGGGGTTTCGTTTGATACTGGAGCATATTACTTGTTACCCTTTGTAATAAGAACAAATAGGGCACAAATGGTACACAGAGCTTTCTTTTTAGAAACAAGGCTCTGGTCAAAGTAGGTTCCATTTACAATGGGTACTAAATAAATTGATGAGAAATGAATCACACTTCAGTTTTGGTAAAGCCTCCCTCCCCTCCCACTATTACACCCGACAATTTATTTAGTCTGTATGTATAATTTCTGTACAATGCCACCGATGTCACTACTGCGTGGTGCACGGCGAAGACCCCAGGCTAGCGGTTGTACCGCACTGGCTAAATTGCTCATCTACAGCTAAGACACCAGATGCCTACCGAGGCAGATTAACTTCCGCGGCGATACAGACATACAACAATTTGCTTTTGATTTGCCACCGAAAACCAACATAATCGCTCACACGTCTATCAGTAAAATGTGCCTACCAAATTCTATCGTTACCAAACTCAAGACCTGAATATTATAAACTGGAAAAAACAGCCACCCACAAATATTATGAAAAACTACTCTTGCGCTTACATTAATTCAAATAAAGCACCGCGTATATCTTTATTTTCTTCTTTCTTTCTCGACGCAGCATTCGAAACTGAGATCACATAATCGAGACCAAAAAATGTGGACCTGCAATAATATCTGAGCATAATTTACATGCATAATGTGGTAAACCAGACGCTCACCCATGTCAGCCGCTACTCCTAGCACTCCGGTGCAAGGCGGTGAAGCTCGACGCCCGTGGGCTGGTGAGATGCGCCACGGAAGCATACAGCAGATGTAATCAAGTGATCTCACCAGGAGTACAAGAGCCTGGTTCTGTCTTATCGCAGTAGCCGCTATCCTACTATTTTGCAATGTTTTCTCGCGACTTCTGGCTCCCCACATCGCCGACATCGTCTGAAAGCTTAGAGGATGTCAGCGATCAAGCCGACAGCGCATCAACCGGCCAGTGCGGTGGACGAGCAAAGTTAAAACTTCGCTTCACTTTAGTTTAAAGCGCAGCCGACGCTACGAGCCAATGGGATCAACCAAAGAAGGTGGTCAAATAGAGATATTCGACCATCTTCCTGTAATTGTTCTTTCATCGATTCAACCAATCAGATGCAGCGAATGTCCCGTAACTTGCGCTTTTACTATGTGTGTTCGTGTTGTACGTGTTCGAGCCTTCGACTGTGCTCTGGCCTGATATGAAACAACGTATACGGTAAGTAGAGACTGTGAAATACATATTTCTACCGTTTTTCTTTCTTCCTAGCTCTTTGAATATTAGAGTCGACCAATAAAAAAATATATATCAATTTTTTGTTTTGCCCGTTTCGGCACAGGTGTGGCACATTTCTTAGCCAAAATGGCACCTTGGTGCAAGATGTAGCAGACTTTCGCTCACGGCGCAATTTAGCGCAAATGGCGCAGCACTTCCATCACCGAGTTCGGCTCCAATTCAGTTCCAAGATGGCTGCAAAGATTTTGGTTCGGTTCCGGTTCGGCTAAACATAACGGTTCGGTTCAGGCTTTTAGTTCAATTTGACACCCTGGTTTCCAGTATGAACGAACACGCCCAATCAAAAGTTGTAACGGAACTTAAAAATGGTTCTTGCATCAAATGTTTAACCTGAAATATACTGTGTTCTACACCATCTGTTACTGCTAGCAGGCATATGCTTAGAACAATAACCAAGACTGGAAAAAGGTAGCCATAAAGTACGACACCAAAACAAAGACCTTGAATTTCTCTATACACAAACAATCCCGAATGTACTAAAAAAATAGTGGTTGTTTCTCGTTACATCGTTGAATAAAACTGCAGCAGGTTGGCAAAAAGCATCATTTTTAATTTGTAAAAGTCAGTGCAAAACTACAGCTCAATACAACTGCAAAATTCAGAGGCCATTCATGGTCCCTAGAATGTTGATTCGATGGCCTACAATCAAACAAAAATACTTGTTGCCTTCAAAGAGATCTGCAGTCATTGGCAGAAAACTAGCCAAATATGACAAACAAACAAAATTGTTCTGAGGATTTACATGCGTTTCCCAACACTAATGAGCAGATCTTATTAAAATCTCACAACTCAGAAAAATAATAAAAAAAATAGAAGTTAGATTTGTAGAAGTACATTTGGAAGCCATAGTTTACATGAAATATAAATGAAGTTAAGACATATTATAGTAGTATAGGCAATATGTCCTTAAATGAGTGTTTAATAGGATCCAGAGCTTTGGTATGAAGTAAGAGAGCTGCTTATAACTGGGTTCCTCTATATATAAGTTATCATGAAATCAAACACTTAAACACTCACTAGGGGAGCATTAAAGGTATGGGTCAAAAAGCAACCACAACATGACTAAGAGAGAAACTGACGAATTAACAATGTGCCTATGCTTGCATGACCAATCCTTGGAGGTGCAGGAAATGCTTGTTGCCAAAGTGGCTCTCAAAGAACAAAACAATCTATTACACCGGCCATCACAGACCATCTCCAGCGTTAGAATACTAAATTGTGATCCTGTTAAGAGAACAGCCCATCAAGAAGTGCCTATGCCTCGCTGGTAAAGGGAAAATTTTCAACCTAACAATGAAACAATACACGCTTTAACTACAAGAAAAAAACACCGGCAAAGATATGTGGTCTATGCTTTAAACTATGCACACAACTCTTGAGCAGTGTCTCCCGACTCTGCAATGAACCACCTAATATAAATTTATAAATAACAATCTCACATTTTGAATAAAAACCTCCAGTGCTTTGCTGGGAAGCAAAGACCCGGAAGAAACAAACCCCAGAAGAACCGACACAACATCAAGCATCCAACGCCATTGTCCACAACCGTTTTTCCAATTGAGGCCTCTGCAACCGACACCCAGAAACATGCCAAATAATGGAGGGCGAGATGGTTGAGGGACAAGGTCACACAACCAAGTGCTGGGCTAGACAACAGCAAACATCGACATAAGCTCTTTCGGTCACACCGTGGTGTAAGGCAGGTTGAGTCGATGGCTATGCCACCAGCGAACAAGTAAGACAACAAAACAGAACAATGACAAGTGCAACACCTAGACTGTTCTCGTACCCGACAGTAACATCTACACCAAAGCAGAAATGCAGCAACCGAATGATGTCACACACTGTGGCCACAGCTTGAAAGAGATGAATTACTAAGAGCATACTGTCTTATTGTGTCTCAAGTGTCCGTCGTTGATATGTACGAGTATATTGCGACATATTCATTGCCAGCGGTTTGTTTCACACAGAGGAAATGCGTTCCCTCTTTTAAGGTTGATAAAATAAAATAAATTAGTTCCCGTGGAGAAACCAAAATATGTGAGGAAGACAACCCCTCTCCCCATCTGTAGGTTGTGTCGCACGACAGGTTTGTTCCCCAACCGCTTAGCAGGAAGCCACGGGGACAGCAGCAGCCTTGTTCTGCCTGTTTTCCCTAAAGAAGAACAAAAACGGGAATATTTTTCAATGTCTTTGAGGCTCTTTCAAGCAGCACTATAGTCGGTGACAGGTCAAGAACGAAGTGGAGGCGCCTCCCACCCCTTTCCACTTCAGCAGAGCGAACGCTGGAGGGGAGGCGACCTCCTCTCCACCGTTCGGAAAGGGGTGGGAGGTGCCTCCACTTCGTTCTTGACCTGTCACCGACTATAGGCAACTACCATTCTTTCTGGACTATAGTCTACCATACTTTCCGGACTATAGTTTACAGTATTTTCTGGGCTATAGTCTGTGGACTATATCGTAATATCTCGAGAGATGCCCCACCCCCAAAAGATAACCCACACCTATTTTTAGCATGAATTGCTGTTTTCTCAGAAACAGCAAAAGATAGTCCACTGTAATTGCAGGGCCCTGGCCAATGGTGGCCTCGACAAAAATGGTGTTACTTGGCCACGAGGGGTGATAAGCTAACAATGCTGAGTGGGAAGGACAGTCGTCTTGGGTTCATCGTCCCTCTCAGCAATCACAAGTTTCGCAAGTCACAGAATCTAAAACTAGTAGCATTTTTTCAACTTTCCTTGATCGCAGGCCGAAAGTTAGCTTGCTCATCATTTTCACTCGATTTGCCTTCGATTTTAGGTGGGCCATCTTTCGGGATGCTATGGTACATTTTTAAAACTAAAATTTTACGTGCTGCAAACTATCTACAGGTGCGGATGAAACAAACATTTGTTTTTTGAAGCCGATTCAGTGTGATGAGACATGAGAGATTTTGTGAAGGACTGAAGGACAGACTATGTTAATGATTTCTGTATTTGAACGCTTTCACAGCCTGTAAACGTGTCTGCCTCTCCGCCAGTTTCCTTGCTAAGCTGGCCGCGCGACAATCAGATGCAGACGCGCTTGCGCCAATCTGCCTGGGAGGCGTCCACCATTAAATTGCAAATGCTCTCCACGGTTGGAGTTCCCTACTCTCTTAAATCTAGGCCCTCCGTCGTTCCTTTTGCTCCATTGGTATGTTGTCGCTAGCTCTCCAAACGCCCTTATTAGCATACCACGACGGCTTCTCCGCGTGCGATGCGGAAAAGCTACTTCCCAGATAAAGAGCGGGGAGCAGACGGCGATGCAGAGGCTGCCACCCACGGCCTTTGCGGCACGTCTGCGGCCCACTCAAGATGGCTGCTTGGCCGCGGCCGCGAAGTGCAGCGATCTGCGACTTGGTAAACTTCAATTACAAACCCGATTATTGTTTGAATTACCACAAAACGTGTCTTCGCTGTATCCACAGGAGTCACTGAATTTCCTTCGCTAAAAACATACAAATACACTGAGAAAGTGCAATGGGGAATAGGAACTTGTGATCGCTTCGCTATAGCCAATATCTCATTATAACAGACTTTGTTATAAACGGGTGCGACTGAAACACTTTAAAATCTAGAACACTAGTGTTCTCCCGTCGTGAGCTGACTCGAGAAGGCTAAAACGTAAACAAGTGAACTGGCCTTAAAAGGGCACTCAAGTGAGTTCTGAGATTCTCTATTTATGGGGATAACTCAATCTACGGGCTCCAAGCGTCTTAAAAGAACCCGAAATTACACTCGTGGGCGGTGGATTTTCCTGTTAAAAGCCTAATCAAAGATCATGACATGTCCCGCTTTCTGCACCTTGGAGCAGACCGGGGGACACCGTTGGACGGCGTCTTCGAACAATAATTGCTGCGTTACATCTCCTATACCCAAGGATTTGACGTTTCTGTTAAAACATAATGCACAACGCGCCTAAAAGAGCAATTAAAGTAATGTTTGAAATAACTATTTTCGTTGGTAAAATTTTATGCAGGTGGTGGGGACCCGAGGATGACTGCCCAAACGCCCGACCACCTGCCCCGCCCCTCCCCTCCCCTCCCCGTACCATACCGTCCCGTTCCGTCCCGTCCCTTCCCTTCCCGTCCTGTCCCGTCCTGTCCCGTCCCGCCCCCTTTCCCCCACAAGACGAAATAGTGCCCGTGTATTTCTATTGCTGCGAGTTTACTAGGATGTCTTTCAATCAAGAATTGGTCATTTTTATTAGCTAAAGCCCAACAATACCCTATCAAAAACAAGCTTCTACAAAAAAGCACTTGAGTGCCTCCTTTAAGGTGAAACGAAGGACGGTGCCCAGCGAGGCGACCTCCAAAGCGAAGCGGGCGCACGGCTCACCTGTCTGCAAGGCAGGGGCAGTCGAGGAGGCGCTGCCCGGCCCCGAAGCTCTCTCCATCCTGCAGCGACTGGGGCATGGGCTGGCCCTTGGTCTCTGGCAGGAACACGGACAGCACGCTCAGCACCAGAGACATCAGGCCCGTGATGAGCATAGGGTACGTCGGGTTCACACGGGACTGCAGGCGAGGAAAAAAAAAAAAGCCCGATGTCTCGTTGCTTCTTGCGAGCGAACTGCAACGACAGCAAGGGTGCTGCACGTCCTGCCACAAACACTTACTCTGCCGCATCTAAACTGAGCAGACTTGTGTCCCGCTAAGTTTAGTGAATGGTGTTCACACGACACTGCAATGTCGCGGAACTGCGACGGCCAATGACATAGGTCGCCGTGAGATTGCCGGCTTAAATGTACCGTCGAAAGTAACAGAGGAGTGAGAACGCTCGATGGGGCTTTTAACAAGCGGCACTCGCTGTCGGTACGACGTGCAACGAGGACAGAGGAATTCTGAACAGTTCTGTTCTTCGTCCACGCCACCCTTCCTTTGGGGCACTGAATCGTTTTCTCTGAAATGCGGTTGCACCAACTAGATTACTTTATCTGTATACAGTTCCTACACCACTGCACAGCCCTTATTCCTATTCAGTGGAGGGGGAGGGGAGTGAGGAAAGCAATAGTGCACCGTTTCTGTGGTAACCCTCCATGGGCTACACAGGCCCCGGGAGGTTCTCATAGAGAGCTACTGCCTCAAAGCAAGATAAACAACTACAATTACGAAAATAACTAGAAGGGATGCAGAAATTATATTTTTTTATTAGGTTTCCTGAAGGGCAGCAGAGAGGAAGTGGCACGTTCAACTACATATCAATTAGGTAAGTCGACTTCTCACTCAAACCTCAGAGCCTAACTGCCAGAGAGATGCATTGCGTCTTGTGGAGCAGAGAAGACTCTGCCAGACTCACCAGGTAGACAATGGAGGGGCTCACGTAGAGGCTGAGGGTGCCCGCAAAGCGGAGGAAGGCCAGGCCCCTGCCCCGGAGCACTGTGGGGTATACTTCGGCCGAGTACTGCATGATGGTGTCATACTCAGCAGTCAGGCACACCCGCATCAGCAGGCTCAGCACCAGGATGCTCACGTGGGACCCTGGAAGAGTTGCCACCGCGTCCGCGACGTCGCCGAAAAGTTTGGAGACACGAAAACAAAGAGAACTAGAGGTTATTTAATACCGGTACTGGTGTTCATACTTTCAGGGATGCATGCTTTTTTTTTTCCATTCCATAGACGGTGGGTTCTTAAACAGTGTTCCAAGGTAGAGTAATCCCTCGTTATAACGAAGTCAAAGGGATGGCAAAAAAATTTGATAAAAGCGGTAATTCGATAAAAATGTGAGAGCCATAAAAAAAGTAACAGTAACCTTGAAAGTACACAGGAACAGTGTGGAAGGCTTTTACAATTATATATTCAATGAAACAAACCTTGCTGATTAACCAGGGTTACTGAGACATGAAAAAAGATGGAAGATCAGTTTGCCAGGCATTTTTGCCAGGCATTAAAAAAGCCTCCTCCAACTGCCTCAAGCACCGCATGAGACTGTCATCGCCACTGCTGCACTCCACCTTGTTGCGAAAAAGATGAAGCATGTTTCCCATTTTTCCAGTCGTGGGTACCTCTCGGGGTTCCTCATCCGACGGCTCTTCGTCTTCGCCCTGGCCACACACAAGGTCCACGATCTCCGCATCCGTGACGGGAGCGACAACCGAGATGTCCGCATCCACAAGCGCAAACGAGTCAAAGTAGTCTTTAGGAGTTTCACCGAGGATCTCGTGCACGGTTCTGTAAAAGTCGTCGCAGACCTTGGTGTCATCTGCTGGCCCATCAAGCACACGCTTACGAGAAAAGCCGTCGACAGCGTCGATGCCGGGATGTTGAATTCTTCTGCAATTTCCAACTTTAGTCAACCACCTTTCTCCACTTCTCGGATCAGCTTGACTTTCTGTTCCAGAGTCAAACTCTTCCGCGCGGGATGCACGGGAAGTTCCCTTCCATCATGCACTTGTACTTGATGGAGAAAATAAACATTATTATTATATTTGGATTTTTTTTCTTTTTCTCACGCAACGAACACACTTTTAATTTTCAGCTCCGCGAGTCTTGAACTGCATCCAACTTGACTAGCCGGCTAGCCACCAAGCCCACCGAGCCAATTTTCTTTTGCCGCCAAACGGCCAGGCCAAGTCAAGCCAAGCCGCTCTCGTAATGGCCGCAATTGCATGGTTGCAGAGGTGATCAACTGTGAAACGGAGCGGTGCACACACCTAGCGAAGAAGCACACACCTAGAGAAAACGGATCACACCATCGTCCGTGATCTGTTTTCGGACAGTGATATCATAGAAGTGGTTAGGCCTAAGAATGGTCGCGCCACTCTCCGTGCTGAGTGAGCTTCGTAGGGTGCTTTTTCTTTGACAAAAGGCATGCCAAAAGCACCCTAAAAAAGGTTTGCAATTTATAGAGCATGGTTATAGAGCATGGTTTCCTGCGCACCCATGGCTGGCCCACGACCAGCCATGGGTACGCCTGTCAGTGGAGATGAGTCAAAGTACCCTGCCATGTCATATTGGCATCTGAAATGACATTTGCACAAAGTGTGTAAATGCAAAAATTTTACCCTGTGTAATGAACACACTCCCCAAATATGTGTAAATTTTTCGGCAAGAAAAGTGTGTTCATCATGCGAGTAAATATGGTACTTCATGCTTTTCATTTCTGCCCGCCTCCTTCTTTCCTATATCATCTTTTTTTTACCTTTCCCTAACTTGGCTCTCCTCACAGCTCACAGTTGAAACAGGAAAGTCTGCCATTCAGTCAAAATCCAGGACCACGAATTTGGCGCTCATGTTGCTAAGTTTGTACACGCCCAATTCAAACGTTTTCCAGCCATTTGTAGGCCGTGCTTACGGTCGTCAACGGGAGGGGGGCAGCAGGGTGCTTCTTTCAAATGCCCGGCTTCCCGTATTCGCTCATCGGCTTTTGCCGTGCCTTAGCTGCACATGCATGCCTGAGGCTCACTGAAGATCCGATTTCGGTCGAGGCGAGAGCATTTTGGCCGCCGATTGGATACGGTGCCACAGCTTGTGCGTAATACACCAATGAGAAGTTGTTGACCCGTTTGAGAATCCAAAAGGGGGAATATTTTGGCGGGAACGTCTTACTGGCGTACAAATGGCGAGAGAGGTCTCGCGACTTCCGACGTGCCCATCCTAAGTGCTCCTCTGTTCGCCGGTCGACTTCAGCTTGCGTACGGCAGCAAAACAATGAGACATTTGTAAACGAAGAGCGGGATGTCAAAGGCTTCCAACGCGAAATAGCAGACAACCACAATTTCAACCTGGTTCCGATCTCACTTTGCCGCAGCGCTCGGTCTGTGGCGGGCGGTCAACGTTTTTCCAGGTTTGTTAGGAGATGACCTATACAATGTTTTCGCCTTTTATTTCCACCTGTGAACGACGTTTCACACTGGACAAACCGCCTTCTTCGTTCGCGTTAGCAGACGGGCTGTCTATGTGCACCATCTTCGCTTGCTCCGCGAGAGGCGATTTAGATCTCGCTTTTGCGTCGACCACAATCAGACCCCAGACGCTGAAGCATTAACCTATTCACACTCAAAGATGACTAATCGCCCCAAAGCCGGCGATTCGCTGGGCAGCATGTATTTCTGTTCTAAGAAACTTTCAGCCTTTCCACTCTCATGAAGGAGGAGGACCAGCAAAGTTGTACTCGATACACTGCCGCGACACGCACGTGCCCGATTCCCGCTTTTTCTTGTCCGACACGCCGCGGATCGTGGATACGTCTCCGGCGAACCCGAGTCGATCATACGCGGCGCACGTGACGCCAGACGGGTTCTCCATGAACTCCCTCGGAACCTTGCTGTCGCACCTGCGAACTGTTTAGCCAGCATGGAGTGCAGTCGTTGCCGGGCCTTGAGCTTGCGCTTGGCCTCCGTGGCACGATCGTCGTCCGTGGCGTTGGCCCGCCGGCGCCCTTTACATCGCTAGTTCTTTTCTCGGCGGCGGCTTTCCAGGCAAGCGATGTGCTCTTTGGCAAGAAAATCTGAAGCGCTGGACGCAGTGGAAGTCGAGGCGACAGCGGCTTTGCGGCGGTTGCGGACCCATTCGCGCTGCTGCGTATGTCGCCGCTCCTTACGCAGCCTGTCTCCTTTCCCCGAAAGGGAGCACAATTGACCCATCGCGAGTCCAAACCGAAACTAATAAGAGCATAGGAGCATAGGAAACAGCGCGCAAAACAGACAAAGATGAAGAAACAAACGTGACGAGCGCTGCGCTCGTTACGTGTGCTTCTTCTTCGTCGTTGTCCGTTTTCGCGCTGTTTCCTACGATGATTTCCCACCAACGTGCCCAACTATCCAATCTCCTATGACAGCTAGAAAGGTTGCCGCCATCTACTAGCGACGGCGGAAACCATACTGGTTGTGTGCTTGCCGTTGTCGCTTATAGATGGCGGTAGCTGTCCAGGTAGGTTTGTGTCGACATTCCGGAGACAATCCTGGGGAACCTAGCCCTTAACAGCTCCGCTGTAAAAGCCGTTCATAGATGGCGTGCTATCGGACTTGGTATACAGCAGAGCCATATACGGGGAGAGTTTGGTCAGTCTATGATCTCGCCGCCGAAACGCTCTCCTCCCGAGTGAGCCAATCAGCACGCGGTGCAGAGCGAGAGGCATGAGCGCATGCGTGTGAACTCCCGGCTGCTCCCAGCTGAGTGGGGAGGGCCGCCATCTTCGATCATTCTCCCGGCGGAATGCGTGGGATCGACATCTAAATCTCGATTATTGCCTTTTATGTCCCTGGCTCTGGCAAGAAAATGACATTTCGTTATTCCTCGGTGGGTTAAAAAGCTAATAAGTGAAGATTTTTCGGCATATGGCCACAAACTTTTAATCAGGCGAAAAAGAAGTCGGCCCGTAGCAGACGACGCGTAGCCTCAGCAGTGCTCTTCTCCGACCAGTCTCCGACAGCGTTGCTAAAAAATGGCGGTCGTCTCTTCTCTGCTCCCTTCTTTCTCTGTCGCTCCTTCGGCGCTCTCCTCCCTTTCATTTACTTTTCTCCTCTCCGGCGCCTTCGTCGCCACACCCACTGGCCAAACTCTCCCAATATACGGCTCTGGTGTACAGTAGTCAGATACAGTAAAAGCTGGTTAATTCAATCCGCAAGGAGAAGCCGCCTCAGTTTGAATTAACGAAAGTTCAAACAAATAAAAGTGATGTAACAGCCTTTCCTTCTCCCAACACAGCACGGAAAACAAAGTCTAAACGCTCGCGGAATCGGTGCAGCCACCCATCTGAAGCAGCAAAGTCGTCATAATCCAGCTGCTGGGCGAAGTCTGCTGCCTCGTCAGTATGGCAGGGCCGCTCAGTGGAATATCCTGTGCACGCATGTCCTTAATCCAAAGCAGAAGCGCTTTCTCGAGGTCCGGATACCTTGCGGGCTGCATCCTCTTCATTTCGTTGGCAACTTCTGCCACCAAAGAGTCTTCAAAAGCCCTCTTATTCTTTATGTAAGTAGATAACATGCTTTTCGGTATTGCACACTTCTTTGCAATTTCTTGCTTAGACAAAAGTCCGGCATCCACTTCCTACAGGATGTCACACTTCTCTTGCAACCTTTTGGCATGGTATTTGCCGTAGGCACATGCCATCTTCAAGTCGCAGCTCTAGGTCCGGCGCCACACCCCCGATGTCCGCCGAAACAAACTTTAGCCGAGGCTTAACAACACCACAAAGAATCGCGACGGCCGGTACCCCCAAAGCAGAAAACAAACGAGACGCCCGACGGGGACCGCCGAGACTAGGGTGCTTGCATGTTTCCGCCAAGACAGATGTGTGTGTGAGTGTGTGTGTAGGCATTGTAAAAGAGGGGGGAGGGGAGAGGGGGAGGGGAGGAGAGCGCCAATTGTGTGTGCGCACCGGAGATTTTCAAAGTCACCGAGATTGACCGATAGGCGCAGGCAAGGAGTCTCTCAGGTCACGTGCACGCAGCCACGTAGAACTGAGAGGAAGCAGCCGTCGCTGCCTTCTGGCACTTCTGGCCGCCTTCGCGCCAGTTAGGTTTTTCCTGATTTTGCCTTCTCTCGCCGTTCTCTCCGTTTCGGAGGCGACGCAGCCTCGTGTGTACGCAGCGGGTGCGTTTCTCTGGCCGTGTGCCAGGTGCAAAGCCGCCGGTGCGGTGGCGTGTAGTTCGAATTATCCGTGGCAAAACCTACTCGCATTCGAATTAACGGGCTTTTTTATACATAGACTTCTTTGGAGCTTGGCCGAACCAAGTCGTACAGTTCGTATTATTCATAAATTGGAAGCATTGAAGTTTGAATTAACGAGCTTTCACTGTACACTGCCTACAAATGGCAAGAGTCGTTTTGTTTGCTGCGTTTGTTTGAGCTTGTTCTTTTGTGCGTCGTCTTTCCCGCTCTATCGCTGTTTGCTTGAAGATGGCAGTATTGAGTAGTCGACGTGGCCTTTCCGACGACGAAATCATACATAATCTCATCGACAGCGATGATGACGGGACGTCTGGTGAGGATGGTGACTTTTCGGAGCCTTCTGTCAACGACGGGAGCGATTCCAACAGCAGTTCTGAGTCAGAATCACGACAAGATAGCCTTGGTTGTGCAGTGCCTAAGCGACCGAGGATGGAGTGCTTCAATATCTTTCATACAAGGAAGAATCTGTGAGTGCCTAGTGATTTTTAGACTCGAACAAACCACTTAAGCATGTAAAGAAACATGTTTGCTTGTTTACTGTGCTGAGTTTTACCGTAAAAGCTTATGATCCAAACAAAAGTCACGCCTAAGGTGGCCATATTTTAGGGAGAAAACTGTGTGGTACAAACGGTCCGGTAGTGTGCGATGCGCAGTAGTCAATAGGTTAATGTGGAAGCATTAGGGAAGGTAGGACACGAGGCGGGACAACCGAGTCACCGCTCTGCTCTTCTCATCCCTTCAGCAACGAGACAAATCTCTGGGAAACGCACCGTTGCGGAAGAGGATGGCAACCACCCCGACGATTCCGGCCACGCCAGTGACTATGATCATGGGCCAGCGTCGGCCCAACGTGTCCAGACCAAACAGGACCAGCAGCAGTCCGGGAAGCTCCACCAGGGAGCCAAGGGTATACGAGAGGTACACGTTGGTCCCCAGGAAGGAGGTGTTGTACACGTTGGTGTGGTAGCAGCAGTAAGTGATGAACCTAGGAGAAGAAACAACACCAATTCGTTTGGTCCCCACGTGAGGAAAAACTTCAAACGACCGCACAAAGCGTGCTGCGATTGATAATGGCGGCAGCTGTTGCACGATGTGCTCAAGGAGATTTGCTTTCGCTTCGCTTCAGAGAGTGAATTTTGAGTGGTTTGGCCATGTCTTCAGGGAGGGGGGAGGGGGGGGGGGGGGGAATGACAAAGTGCTGCCTGGGGCCGCACGTTCATTGTAGATGTACCAGACAATTTCCCAAAACCTCGAAGCAGCAGCAGCGGGGAATGTGGTAGGAGAGAGAGTGGAAATGGTAGCGCATCTTGTCAAAAAAGGTGCAGTTGCCCCAAGGACCATCGGACTACAGGCACGCAAAGAACAAATTGTTTGGGTCGCATGTCAGCCAGCTTCAAACTACCCGACAGGAACCGTCTTTCATCGCCAACCACAAGCTCGTCACTTCACTTGTAGAGACCGCCAGCATGTAGGGCCACCAGTTTGAGTCGGTATTTTCACCTGCTTCCACCTCCTCTCTATGCATGCGTGTTGATGCTACGCCATTCTTGCCGCCAAATCCTCACGTCCTGTCGTCTCTCTCTAGCTATCCCTCCATTAGGCTATAAGGACGCCCTATGCCACATCAAACCGTCCGCATTAGCTGTTCCAGATGGTGTCCCTCCCATCCTGCTCAAAATGATTCGGCCCAATGTTCTGCCCTCCCTCCTTGCTAAATACCAACATCCTCCGAAGAACTTGGCCCTCTTGGAAAGCTGGCAGCAGTTTTTGGTCACTCTGGTTTTCGAGGGTAAAAGGCAAGTCCTCGAGCGACGTATCCAGTTATTGCCCTGTGTCCGTCACTTCCATCCTTTGTCAGAACTTCGAGCGGATTATCGACAAGCTCCTACTCAACCACTTCGATCGTCTTCAGCTGCTTCCGACTTCACAGCATGGGTTCCGGCACTACCGCTCCCGCAAGACTGCCCTGGCCTCTAGCTGCCATTACATAAGCGACAACATGGACAGTTGTTGTCCCACAGATGTTGTCCGGCTGGACAGCATCTGTGATGGTGATGAAAGCAGACGGCCTTTATGCTGCGGAAGAACACTGCGGCACAGTGATACAAGGTGCTTGCTGAGGCACTTCACGCATGCTCTTCAATGGGCGGAACGCGAGCAAAAAGAGTGAAATAAGGACCCAACGCGGAAGGCTGGTTTTCTCCAGCACCTTATAATTTGACGAGCCTTACAATAAAAGTTGTCTTTTTTAAAGATTGAGAATAGACGTTTTAATTTTGGTTTGAGTTTCCTCGTGTATATGTCAATAAGAGATGTCTACTTCACACTAGCCTTTAGTTATATCCATTTATTAAATCATTCTTATATTTAACCTATAACTTTCCTCTCTCACCACGAACGGGGTCCTCCATCATCTCCGCCAATCTACAAGGGGTCCGCAAAACATCAGTGGTTGAGAACCACTGGTCCGAAGTATCAAACTGCCAAAAGGGGAAGGACGCAAAAATTTCCATAGCAACTAGCGTGGACGCTGTGGAGTGGCAGCATGGCATAAGTCCCTGTCACAGTGTCTGCGCAAGTTGTAATGAAAACTGCCGTGCAGTGCCTGTTTTCATTGCTCATATGTTTCCTGTTTAGTAATTCACAATAGACAACTTCATGGCCTGATGAACAAACATAATTTTGTTTTGAGTTGTCACGTGCCGTCTAAACAGACCACAATGAACAACGTTTTTTTAGAGATAAACTTATGTTATACATTTCACAAATGTTTCATGTGTGGCATACCTGCTTATGACCAGTAGGCCTATGCAGAGGAAATCATCAAATATCTGCTTTGTATGTGTAGCCATTCCTAAGGCAAATCATTAGTTTCTCTTGCGTCATTTAGATGCATGTCTGATAATTAAAACAAAATTCGTGGCTTCCTGGAGTTTAAATCAACGAGTCTAGACTTGTCCTTTTGAGTGGGACTGTACTAACCGAGACACCGAACCACTCTGTCAATTACGTACCAGGCACACAGCATCAGGATGGAGTGCTTGCGAATTCTTGGTGTCCTGAACAAGTCCAAGAAGGTCACTTTCTTGCTGGCACCTTTTCTCTTGTTCTAGAATATTTGCACATTAAAGAGGGGTCAATGACTGCAGCAGTGTCATTTAGTAAGGTGAAGGGTTTATTTTGGATCGAATTTAGAATGTCTTTTTCTTTCTTTCTTTTTTTTTTTTGGGGGGGGGGGGGGGGGGGGGGGGGGGAGGGGGTCCTTTCTTATGTAAAGTTTGGTGTTTGTTGCTCTTTGCTTGCATAAAATTTCAAACTCTCAGAAATTAAACATTTAATATGTGTATAGCATTCAAACTCCTCCAGACCTATGAATAATAATTAATCAACATCCCCAAATATGCTCATCAAAAGATAGAAAGGGCCATTTTAGTTAAAAGCAAAAAAAGAGTCCGCAGGATATTGTGTTCACTTCTACAAACCATTGCCTCGTCCCCCTTTCAGTAAGGTGCACAACTCAAAAATGGAACAATGGCACCATCACACACTTAAAGTGGCTTTTACGGTGGTTCAGAAATTTGGTAACATTGACCCATACAGTCAAACCCGCATATATCAAACTCACCAAAAAACAAGAATTAGTTCGATATATTGTGTAATTCGATACAACAGTTTTATTGAATTTGACTCTCAAAAATCCACTTTCTGCTGACATATTACACCATGAAATGATCATGCATCTTCTGCTGCTTTTTCTTCGTTGCTTCTGAGATATCAATATTTTTCTACACCGTTTTGCTCTGCAAGATGGATTTCCCTTAAGGCAGGCGGCTGCATTGGGGGAAAGCCAGCTAGCAGAGCAATCTGGCTTTTTTTTCCTTCTGGGCGGCCGCGTCAACCCAAAGCCTCCTAGAAATACGGCCGTAGCGCTCCGAGGGGTTACGTCACAATGCCGAAGAAGGAATGCCATGGTGCAACTATGAGAGAAAATATTTGGTATCGGAGTGAAAAATGTTTCTTGTCGAGCGGTGCAGTGGTGTTCGTGCGCGTTTCTATGACATCAATTTATGCTTTAAAAGTGCAGTCTTGTCCAATTTATTATATATATAATATAAATGTAATATACAACACGTTACAAAGGTTGAAAGTACCAAATTCTTATTTAGAATTATCCCCGTAACCGCAGGACTACGTGCAGTCCCAACAGCTCCCCACACTTTTCGAATCAACCGGCTGCGATGCGACATCTTCCCTCATATGGGCTCCGATTCTGGTAAATTTACGTTGTGCGTGAGCTGCTGATTGACTGAAAAGGAACGCTGCCACTTTCAGAAGGGAAGGGAACCGAAAAAAAATCCAGTCATCGCCGCAGGGAGCGCAAACGAGCAAGAAATGGGTCGAAAATGTTAAGCCTTTCGTCATGCTGCCGGTGCCTCGTGTGTGGTTCTTTTTAGACTTGCTTACTTCTTTCCGTCGTTTTTCTGTCGTCACCTCAGTCTTGGGTAGTTTTTTTGTTTTCGCTTGATAATACGACATTTACATGAATTCGTGGAACAAGTCCTGCTAGTTTGAGTGACGTGTGTGGCAACCAGTCAAGGATGACACTGGTCGATTATTGATAGACCTCTCTCTTAACAGGGAGACTTCTTGCAGTTTGTGTTCTAATATTTTCGTCACGGATATTGTCGGACGTATGAATACGATCGACAGCTGAGACATAATTTATTTACGGGCTTTCTTGGTCATGTAAGACACAAACCGAGTGCTGCAGTCTTTTTTTTTTTTTTTTAAATCTTGTGATATAATGGAATTTTGTTTTTTGTCGTTATCCGTGTGCTATTGCGTCGACACTTGTAAATATGCGTGGTAATACATATTCTAGTTTTTACTGGAAGGAGAATAACAAGTTTGTGTGATTATTGAAAGTGCATTGTTTGTGCTTGTGTTTATTTATACCAATGTTATTTTATTGCCTTTACCACATTTATAATAGAATCTTAACTGTATTAAGGTAATAGTAATATTGTATACAAAATACAATATTTTGTTCTAAGGCAGCTCGAGCCCATAGGGAGAAGTAAATTAGTTGAATGTAAATAGTAAGTTTAGTACCCCTGCCACACAGAAAAGTTATTATATTTTCATTAAATGATATGGGACTTAATCAGCTCGCGGTCTTCAGTGATTATACGAGCGTCGCAAGCTGATTTGTAGACCCCATAATGTCATTCGATCGAAATTGCATTAATTTTGCCATGTGGCCGGGGTATGATGCAAGAATTCAGTGACTGCACGTGGTAACATCGCTTTCATGATCGTCAGTGACACTTGTCGAGTTGTGTCCGCATTGACTACATCTACCTGATTTTTAACTGTGGTCTGTTTTGCTGTGTTCAATCACTGCGTGTCTCACCATTTTGTCGAAGTATTTCTGTATAAAATATGCATTCCTACAGCAATAATTGCGTGACTCGATGTTTTTGACTAAAAAAACAATTACATTTTTCTATAAACATCCTATGTGCATACCTCATGCCATTTCCTAACAATTATTTAGCGGTGCAATATTTTGCCCATGTAATAAAATGTTTTCTAGACACGTTTCTATGTGCAGCTTTCATTTTATGTGACTAAAAGCGCATTATGACGGACGATCCACACGCGTTGCCTTCACTTCGACGTGTGCCTCCGATGGCCTTCCTTTGCAACATTGCGAGAAGAGCACTACAGCATTATTCCTAGGAGGTGTTAATCAACCGCCCAGAAGAAAAAATAATATTCTCTTTTGCGGGCGGAGCGCGGGGAGGAGCACGCAGCACCCTTTCTCCACTCCCTCCGCAAAGGATTTTTTTTTCCGAGCGGTTGACGCGGCAATTCGGAAAAAAAAAAGTTAGCATGCTCTGCAAGCTGGCCTTCCCCCAATGCAGCCACTCACATTGGGGGAAAGCCAGCTTGCAGAGCAAAGCGGCGCTCTTGGCAGTTCGATATATCGGTAGCGGCTGCTATTTTTGTTCGATGTAACCCTAGTTATTGCTATATATTACGACTGTAACATTACCGTGCACAAAAATTGTTCGATATAAGGGATAATTCCATGTAAATTGGTTCGACATAATCGGGTTTGACTATTACAGAAAGACAGTAAAACACCCTCATTTTTTTTTTTACAAATTGTCCGAGGAGAAGGATTGAAGTGGCCACTCCTTGCGACCAGGTCGACCATTCACTTTACCCAGACTAATGTGAAGTGCTTTTACACTGTTTTTGCCACTTTGATCTTGAGTGCAGGAGCTTGCAAAAAATTCTATTGGGTCATTCCATGTGAAACGTCCCAGACGTTGCGCTCGACCACCTCCGATTTCTAAAAAAAAATTCATGGACTTCGGCCACAATGTCCGTAGCCATACCCTAAAATAGTTTTGACGAAAAAAAATTGGTGCCAGACTCTGGGGAAATAATTAGCAGCATAATGCATACCTCTGCAATCTTCAATTCAATATTTTCAGGGATCTCTTTCTTGTTGAAGTGGGCGACCCTACGAAGATACATGACGGCATCGTCGTGGCGACCACGAGTCAGCAGCCAGCTGGCAGATTCTGGCACAAACCTGAAGCAAGAGGTAGCCATTATTACAGCTTGAGCATTCAGCCCCATCTTGAAACCGTGTCCCACTTAACCAACATCTGACCTTTTTAACTTGGAATGGGAGCTCTTATGGTAAGAGCACCCAAAGAAGGTTAAAAGCTCATGCTCATAAAACGAGCATGAATGGAGACCAGCGACTGAGCTTTTGAGGTGCTGCCTATATCATAAGCAAAAATATATAGAACTCTGGATGATACAATATTTTCCGGACTATACACGCTTAAGGAAACATGTGTTATATCTGTGGCAGTGCTCGTGCCTTGACGTGCAGCGTGCGCGCGAGACTATCGCGTGAACTGACTGACTGCCTACCCGAGCGACAGCATGCAGCCGTGTTCTAACTGGGCTGATTTCTGTAACCCGTTTTTCTTGTAAATACACCACATTTATTGGCGATGAGGATGGGATTGAGCGTAGCCTTGAAATCTCCGCAGAGGCGTATACTGCCATCCTTTTTTACTACAGGTACAAGGGGTGTCGCATACTCGCTGGTAGCCACGGGCGTGATGACTCCCAACTTTTCCATTTTTGCCAATTCTGTTTCGACTGCTGCTTGCAGTGCGAATGGAATGCTTCTAGCCTTCAGAAACTTCGGCTGTGAACCTTCACGAAGAAAAAGTTTGGCTTGTTCTCCAGAAATGGTGCCAAGCTCATCTTTGAACAGGTCGCTGTGGTTCTCCAACAAGGCGTCCAACTTTTGTTTGAGACTCTCCGACGTGTCGAGCCTGTTGACAGTGACCAGGTTCTTCCAGTCTAGCCGAATTTCTCGCAGCCATTCTCTGCCAAGCAATGCCGGGCCCTTGGTTTCCACGACGTACAGTGGAAGCTCCTTACTTTGGTCGTTGTGCTGCACAAAGACCAAGGCCCGACCCTTCGGCTTCACAAAGTCTCCTGTATACGTGCGAAGTGTGAGCGTTGTAGGTTGTAGCTGCTTTCTTGGGAACAGCTTCCGAAATTCAGCCAAGGAGACAACGGACACAGCTGCGCCTGTGTCAAGTTCCATTGTAAGCTTCACACCGTCAACGTTTATGTGTACGGTGATTGGTTCCAAGCCCACAGCCTTGACCACTGCAGAGATACCGCGTCGTGAACGGACGTCAGCGTTTTCACCTGCCTTTGTCGTTTCGATTTTGTCGGCTTCTTGTTACCCGAACGGCAGGCGCGCTGAATGTGCCCTTTCCGGTTGCACTTGAAACATGTGTCACCGACGTGGGGGCACGCATCACTGCGGTGGTTGGTCGAGCCACAACGGAAACAACTTGACTGCTCTGGTACTTGCTTGTCGATCCGCGCTTTGTGGTCGACCCGAACCTTGTGGACGTCAGGGACCGATGCACCGCTGGTGTGCGTTAACGCTGCACTTTTAGTTGCTATTTCCATAGCAAGAGCCCTCTCTACCGCTTTCTGGAAAGTCAGCTTTTTGTCTTCTGTGAAGAGGACGCGCTGCACATCTTCTCGGCGGAGGCCGCACACAAAACGGTCGCGTAGCGCCTCATCAAGAAAGCCTCCAAAATCGCAGCTCTGTGCTAGATCTCGAAGTACCGCTACAAATTCGGCGATGGACTCACTTTCTTCTTGCGAACGCTTGTAGAACTTCGCCCTTTCCGCTATGACGGATGGCTGCGGCGCAAGATGATCGCCCAGAAGCTTGAGTAACGCGGTAAACGACTTTTCGGACGGTGACTGCGGGGCCGTAAGCGACTTCAACAAAGCGCACGTCTTCGGACCGATGAGACTCAAGAAGGCATGGACCTTCTTACCTTCGGGAACCTCGTTTACCAGGAGGTATGACGCCAGTCTTTCTTCATAGGAGCGCCAGTCGCTCGTCGTATCGTCGAAAGACTCGATGTGCCCGATGCGACTCATGGTCTTCGCTGAGGGGTTGCCGCTTGATGGCCGCTCCAGGATTCCGAGGCTGGACAATCCTTGGCTCCAGTCAAGCCCCCAGCAGTCAGACGATGATCCAACCCGTGCACCCGAACATCCTCGTCGCCAACAGCTCATCAATACGTGGTATGGGATACCTGTCCACCTCTAGGCAGGGATTGTACGCCATGAACCGTCTTGCTTTTGGCATCTCATCAGCACCAGGCATCTTCCAGAGGATAATGGATAATATGCTGAAGGGCCTGAAGGGTGTCAGCTGCTATCTCGATGACATCCTGATCACCGGAAAGTCAAAGCAAGAACACCTCAGCTATCTCGAAGCCGTCTTGTTGAGATTACAAGAACCTAGTGTGCATCTACGGCGACCAAAAACATCTTCCCCTTGACTGGACCCGCGAAATCCAAATGCACCCTTTGCCAGGGCGATGTCGGCCATGCCCAAGGGTGGAGGGGCGCGGGGACTGGCTCGTTCCGCTGTTGATAGCATTCTTGACATGCTTTCACTTGCTCTTCCAGGTCATTGTCAATTGAAGGCCACCAGATGTAGCTCCTGGCTAATTCTTTACTTCTGACAATACCTGGATGACCCAGATGTATTTCTTCAAGCAGGAGATTGCGCAGTTTTGGTGGTACGACTACCCGCATGCCATACATCAGACACCCTTGATGCACAGTGAGCTCCAGACGTCTGTCAAAGAAAGGCTTCATTTCCTTGTCAGTGATGGACAATGGCCAGCCCACGTGTGTCAAGTCGAGTACTTTGCTTAACAAAGGGTCGTGGCGTGTGGCACGAGCAATGTCACGGCTGGTGACAGGTAGCGTATCTAGACGCAGAGAATAGAAAGTTTCGTTTCCTTCGGTAGATTCATCTACCACAATGTCAAGTGGCAATCTTGACAAGCAGTCTGCTTCAGTGTTGTCACTTGATTTCTTGAACTGGAGCGAGTAGCTGTACGTAGACAGCGTCACTGCCCAGCGCTGCATCCGTGCAGCTACTCGCTCCAGTTCAAGAAATCAAGTGACAACACTGAAGCAGACTGCTTGTCAAGATTGCCACTTGACATTGTGGTAGATGAATCTACCGAAGGAAACGAAACTTTCTATTCTCTGCGTCTAGATACGCTACCTGTCACCAGCCGTGACATTGCTCGTGCCACACGCCACGACCCTTTGTTAAGCAAAGTACTCGACTTGACACACGTGGGCTGGCCATTGTCCATCACTGACAAGGAAATGAAGCCTTTCTTTGACAGACGTCTGGAGCTCACTGTGCATCAAGGGTGTCTGATGTATGGCATGCGGGTAGTCGTACCACCAAAACTGCGCAATCTCCTGCTTGAAGAAATACATCTGGGTCATCCAGGTATTGTCAGAAGTAAGGAATTAGCCAGGAGCTACATCTGGTGGCCTTCAATTGACAATGACCTGGAAGAGCAAGTGAAAGCATGTCAAGAATGCTATCAACAGCGGAACGAGCCAGTCCCCGCGCCCCTCCACCCTTGGGCATGGCCGACATCACCCTGGCAAAGGGTGCATTTGGATTTCGCGGGTCCAGTCAAGGGGAAGATGTTTTTGGTCGCCGTAGATGCACACTCAAAGTGGCCCGAGGTCTATGTGATGGAGAAGACGACATCACAGCACACGATCCAACGTCTTCAGGACTTGTTTTGTCGTTTTGGTGTACCTGAGGCCATTGTTACGGACAACGGTCCTCAGTTTGTCTCAACAGAATTCAAGTCTTTTATTAAGAATCTAGGAGGCCGTCACATCTTGAGCGCGGCCTATCACCCGAGTACTAATGGCCTCGCGGAGAGGTTTGTCCAGACATTGAAGTCTGCTCTCCGAAAAGGACGACCGCAAGACTCCCTGGAGTTGACGGTACAAACGTTTCTTCTGACGTACCGCAATACCCCTCACACGACGACGAAAGAAACACCTGCCAGTTTGTTCTTAGGCAGAAGACTTCGCACAAGACTCGATGCCATTAAGCCTTCCGTTGGGGGAAGAGTAGGACATCAACAGTTCGTCCAGACCTCGCAGCGAAAGGCGCGAACAAGGATTTTTAGTGTGAACGACAATGTTCTCGTGAGGAACTATAGAGGCTCCCAGAAGTGGATTCCCGGCACAATTCTGAAGCAATCTGGCCCAGTGTCGTTCCAGGTTCGAGTCACGACTGCTCGGGGCATATATATCTGGCGCCGTCACCAAGACCAGATGCTTCATCATCGTGAAAACTCGATGCAAGTCACATCAGACGGATTCCTGCCCGACCTGAGGGATCCAGAGAACGGCGTCGACGAGCCTGTTGTCAGTGAGTTTGCAACCACCCCACAGAGGGCAACCGACAATCCCGCTGTGCAACAGCGCTACCCCACAAGACATCGTCGTCCTCCAGACAGATACGACGCATAACGTTTTCGGCATTGTGTGCAGTGTGTGTTTTCCTTTGGTTTCTTCAATTACGCCGGGGGAAATGTTATATCTGTGGCAGTGCTCGTGCCTTGACGTGCAGCGTGCACGCGAGACTATCGCGTGAACTGACTGACTGCCTACCCAAGCGACAGCATGCAGCCGTGTTCTAACTGGGCTGATTTCTGTAACCCGTTTTTCTTGTAAATACACCACAACATGTGCCAGAGGAAAATATTTTTTATTATTATTTACAATATTGAAAAAAAATTTTTTTTTTGCAGTTTATGGTGCTTAATTTTTTGCTTATAAATCTGGTATTAGATTTGATATAGATGTTGTTTTCTTTGGGTTCTTGACGCAATGTACATGCAGAAAAAAACATGTTTTTGTGCACACATGAGATACGGCAACACACTTAAAATGGCCTAGTAGAACGATGTTAAACTTCACTATATTTCAGGCCAAAACCTCTGTTCCATAGCAGGTATGTAAAATTGAGCAACAATTCTAAGCAAAATAACAATCTAAAGGAATTTAGTGCGTGTTCAAGGTTCGCTAGCATTCCGGTGGCGCTTATATATTGCACTATGCCCGTCCTGTCAATATGAGTGGCGGGCTGGCAGGCACACTCACGTATGGGTTTTAACCTTCCTGCGTAGCCGTGCACGCCACCCAGTCATATTTTTGTATGCAAATAATAATAATAATTATTATATTATTATTATATGAAAATGACTCCGTCATGCATCTTTACGATCGATTAAAAAAACATTTAAATGTAACAGATAAAGTAAGTGGACTACGAAAGGTGTGTATTTTTATTATTTCCTAGGTCGGGCAGTTTTTATTGGGCACCTGTTCTCCGGCTTGTCCCTACTTGCAAAGATTTGGAGCGTTCAGGTGATGACTTTAACCCAGAACAAGCATATTCGCACATATTCATGAGCAGAAAGAATAAAGCAGTATGTATTTATTGCAAATTGGACTATACTGTGTGGCTTTCAATTTATTTTGATCGTCTGCATGCACAAGGAGTTACTTATCCAGTGTTACTGCATAGTTCTTGCCGTCTCTCGTGGCTTTCCACATGTCCTTCGTTCGTTTGGCACGTATATCCCGCATGCTGGAAAGTGCCAACACCATGTTTGTGCTAACAGTGTACGACAGTGCACATAAATACATGTACGAAGCAGTTTTAGCACCGTCTTTCATGCCAAGAGCTTCAAATAAGAACGCCGTATCTGACATATTTTTTTCATCTGCGTCAGTGAGAGATGTTTCAATGAGCCTAGTACATATAAATCATTCGCGATATTTGCTCTTATAATCGAGCGCAGAGAGAAAATGCACTCGCTTTTTCCCATAGAAATGCATTACCAGACGCACACCAGAAGCACATTAGCACCAGTTAACTCTCTAGCGTACATTATAATAACTCTATGTTTGCTGCCAAGCAGTCAGGCCAAGTCAAGCCGAGCCAAGCCGCTCTCGTAATGGCCACAAGTGCGTAGCTGCGGAAGTAATTAACCAGGAAGCCAAGCGTCGCGCACACTTGACGAAGCTTCGATCGAGGAACTGCCGAGCCCCGGCCATTTTTCGCCTGTCTGATGCATTGATGTCACCAAACAAGCCGTCGTCTGTGGTTTGCTTTTGGACAGTGAAATCGTGAAAGTGGTTAGGCCTAATTTCACATACTCCGAGTAAATGCGTTTATTTAATCCGTAACAGAACTGCGCCGCAAGGTGCATGCTGTGCTGTAGGCTGAGTGTGTCTGGTAGACCTGGGAACAGCCGTCTCCTTGAACGAAACTTGATGAATCTTAATTCATGCTGGGGGCTTCGGCAGTCAGGGGTTGGACTTCGTACGAGTTCTTGTCTCCGTGAACATAACTTGATCTGTGCGAGCGGGCTTGGGCGGTTGGTCGGCGATTGGACTTCCTACAAGTTCTTATACGCAGTTCTTATAAGCGGAGCGCGCCGCCGGATACTAGCAATACATATCGCCTAAGAACGGTTGTGTTGCTTTCCCTGTTGAGTGAGCTTTGTGGGTGCTTTTCCTTCAACAAAAGGACCACGAAAACGCCCTAAAAAGGTTCAAAATTTATAAAGCATGGTTACTGTGGCGCGCCCCCGACAACCAGCCGTGGGTGCATCTCCAACAATGGACACGTGCCGCAGTACCTTGCCGTGTCATATTGGCATCTAATATGACATTTGCACAGAGTGCGTAAATGCAAAAATTTGACTCCGTGTGATGAAGGTCCCCCTCCAAATATATATGTCAATTTTTGGGGAAAAAGTGTGTTCATTACGCGAGTAAATACGGTATTAAGTTGTCATCATAACTGACCTCTACCTTCCCCTTCCCCTCACCACGAACAGGGTCCTCCGTCGTCTCCGCCGATTCGCAAGGGGGTCCGCGAAACACTGACGGTCGAGAACCACCGCGTTAAGGTCTCGCAAGTTGTAGCCGCCGCCGCAACAGTGCCGCAGATTCGTCCAAAAACGCTCCATCTTTTCGGGCGTGGCGGCGGTCGATCGACAAGGAGACTGAGAGCCCAAAAGACATTAGGCGGGAAAAACAAGCTCACTTGATCAACACGACCACCATGACCAGCGGCATGCTGGTGACGATGCTGAGGTAGGTCCAGTTGCAGATGCCGTACGCCAGCCAGGGACAGACCATCGAGAACACTATGTAGGAGGCCGACCAGAGCACGATGGGCACGGTGCGCCAGCGGGGCCCAATGTACTCCAGACCTGCAATGGAAAACCAGTGGCAACAGCGCCCCCGTAGAGAATTAGTCGTCGAGGGAAGAAACGCTTCCCAGTCTTCCAATTAGACCGAGGGGGTCAAGTACAGTATTTTCCGGACCGCGGTCCATATGCAGGGGCAAATTTTGGCCGAAGAAAATTGACTTTTCTCTGGAGGTTCTGCACCAGGTGAACAGTTCGCACGTAAAAAAATTCTCGCGCGCAGCACGTCTTGATGAGGGATCCGCTTAATCGGCTCACGAAAAAGCTTGTACTATATATAAATCGCCATTGACATACTCTGTCCGTCACAAAATTCGTCGGCTCTCGCCGTAATGATGGACGTAGAAAGAACACAATCTTGCACAGTCCGTGCCACATCAAATTGCAGCTTTTGAAGATGTAGAGTTCATGAACCACAGTCCGAAAAATAGGTAAATGTTGATACATTCTTTTGTTCTCGGTCATTGCCCCTTCAACGCAAATTATTACAAAAATTACAATACGACAAGCTCCATTTCAACATCGTCAGGCATCTTGTAAGTTTTATCAGCCCACAATCACCCTTACTACTTTTTATACCCATTTTTTTTTTTTTTTTTTGGTGCTGCGGGCATCTGGTATTGACCTTCAGTCTCTTTGCAACCACCAGCATCTCTCAGAGTTGCAAATAAATACTATCAATATCATTATCAGGTCCTGTGCCTCACCCAAAAGTCGTGTTTTCGACTGGTCGGTGCCAGAGAGAATTTATATAAAGAAAGGTACCGCTGCATTAAACTCAAATCACTCTAAACTTGCCCCAAAAAGGTGTGTCACCGAGTCACAAGTCTGAGATAAAGGCTGATGTTACATCCCATTTCACCCCTTCCCTTTGGAGCATGACACTCTTCTCTTCGAGCAGGGCCACGTAGAGCCATAATCAAAGCAAGAGAAAGAATGTAAAAGGATTATCTACCTTGCAGAAAAGAAAAACAGCTCAAAATTGCAGTCCTCTGCCTTAGCAGACAAAGTAATGCAGTTTGCCTAAGACTAGAGTCGAAAATTTTGCCTAAAAGAATTTACGGGCCTACTGCCATATCCTGGAAATTAAGTGTCTGCGGTGGCGGCAGTCGCGCCTTCCGACGCATCGTACATTCACGCTGCGACGTCACAATATCAGGTCGTGACGTGACATGCACATGATGCTACGATTTCGCAGTGTCACTCAACATTGTGGCATCACGTAAACAAAGCATTTCTTGGCTAGATAAAGCAGGAAGAGTTTTTCTGCCAAATTCAAAGAGGAAATGTTTTTTTTTTTTTTGTCAAGTTTAGCTATTTGGTTACAAAGACGATCAAACACCACCAATCGGCCAGGGTAATGGGCCACAGACGACATTCGCCGTAAAAGTTGAGATTCGATCAGCCTATTCGAGGCATCAAGATGGAATGCACAGGACAGACGGCACATTAACCCATTGAGTGCGACGCTCGAGCATAATCGGGCACATTGCCGTGGGGCTTCCATTTCTGTTTGCTTCCTGCCCTCTTCAAGTGGGCTGTCATTTTTTTTATGTGCAGTGGCACGCACAAGCGAGCGACAAGAATAATGTTTTATCTTGTAATGTCACCTTTTAATCGCATATCATTTCTTTTTTTTTTTTTGAGCGATTTTTGTTTTAATGTGCTCCTTCGTTGTTACAAAATGGTGAATCTATGTCGTTTGATCTCGCACTTCACGGCAAACTCCGAGATCCAGGAATGCCTAAGAAACTCGGTATATTCTACGATCGCGAAAACCAGGAAGTTACGGTGCCAAATTAAGAAAGGGTGAGCGAGGCCGCTCGAAAGCTTGACTCCGGGGTGCGAGGTCGAGGTGACGCTGCGCAGTATTACGCCCTCAAAAGTAAAACGCAAGACACGTGTCGTAGGCTGGAGACATGCAGACATCGATTAAGCTTTTGCCCACGAAATAGCCTGTCTACTGTAAAATAAATTTTCTTCACGAAGCATGCTAGTGTTAATGAGGTAAAACTTTGCACATTCGACATGCAAGGGGAAAAGACCCGGCACTCAAAGAGTTAAAAGGAAAGTGAAGCAGTTCTGCACTTGAAAAAAAAAAACACTTAAATCCTCTTCATTTGCACTCCAGTATTATGAATTTCAGACTGATGTGCCAAGTAGCCACCACAGCGCTTTCAAATCAGAGCCTTTCCAGCGCGTTCGGTGGAAGGAGGGAATGGCGACCTTCAATTGTTCTTCCACGAGCGGCACACGCAAAGCAGTCAAAACCTTTAGGTACGATGTTGCACCCAGCGGTCAGTTTTTTGGCTTTCCTCTCGTCTAGTGATACGTTCGGGTCAAATGCTCGCAATGTTCAAATTCACGGGACAAAAATACGCAAAAATTCACATCTCAAACTCTTTTTTTTTTTTTTTTCAAGAATCTCTTAGCTGTTTCTCAATTATGCGAGCTCACAAAGGATCCGCGTGCTGCGCAGCACGAAGGCAGGACTCACTGAGTATGTAGGGGTCCTCCGAGAGGGGAATGATGCACATGCCGACGAGGAAGCGCAGGATCATGAAGGCAAACAGGTTGGTCATGAAGGAAGACACGATGCCCGACACCCAGGCCAGGGCGTAGCTAAGGATGATGGAGGGCTTGCGGCCATACCTGATGCAGAACGAAGACGGTGCGTCAAAGCAAAGTTTGAGGTTTCCATTAAGTCAAACCGACGAAGGGCACCTGGCACACCCCGCTAAGGTACTGGGGAATCATTTGGGCCGTCCGAGGCTCTTCTGACTTGCAACCGATATCTTGGTTGTGCATTAAGCCTCCGTCAAATCGCGGGAACCTCGGCCGGGATTCGAATGCGCCAACTGATGATCTGTACGTTGACGCTTTACCTCCGATACACATCGACCGAGGATCAAAAAAATTCTTCTGTACAAAACAACCCCGACTGATGGGCAGACGTGAATGGCAGAGCTGTCAAGGAGGGAAGCAATGATCGCGGAGCTCAGTGGCCCCGCGGGTATTGCTTCACCGCAATGCATGGATGCTCGGTGAGAAGCATGCTCAACACAGTGATGTGATTGGCCTAAGCCGTTTCGGAGCACCTTTCAGAGCGGCCAAAACAGTGTTTTGGAGCGGCAAGAGTGGATTTTGAAGCAGATATTCTTAGAAAACTAAAAACATTTGTTTTAAGTGCTGGACAATTGAAGGGCACATTGCTCGCCGCAGTAAACAAATTATAGTTAAGTTAGACCACCTGGAAGTCTTTCAACATGTAACTGAAATGCCAATGACATGACACATTTTGCAATGCTTCAGTTAAATTATACATATACCTATATGTACCCGCTATAGATAAATAAGAACCAAACTGCACATATTAAAATTTATATGAGAATGAGCAGCTTTTTAGTAAATATCACAGCATTAGGTTCACTAGTATAGCAAAGGTTGGCCAACCTATAGCAAAGGTTGACCAACCTTTGCAGTGAGCTGTGACAATATTATCACCATGCAGTGTAGCATTATCGCACAATGTAACAAATTATCATCACAGGTCACACAGTGTAGCATTTTTAATTGACAATTTGTTAAGTAAAAATAGTCTAAAATGAATGAAAACTCTCTATACTCGTTGTCACCTTTTAAAAGGGGGGGGACATGGGTCTTTGGAGGCAAAAGATTCCTAACACTTCATTCTTTTGAAAACGGCAATGTTGACCTCTACAGCTGTTGCTTTTTTTTAAACTACCAGGTTTTTAATTTCATAGCTGAATTTTAGAGCTATAAATCAATTTATAGTGTCTATGCAGACTGAATGTGTGTTGAAGTCGACTCTAAAACATTGTTTTCCCTAAACACAATTTTTGGATTTGTTGAAAATTTGCAGGAGGGATATCTCATCATCTAGGGCAGATAGAAATATAACTTTTCCTGAAACATGTAGCTAAATGTGTGAACACACAGAGGTTCGGGCGAGTTGGTTGCTCATGATGTACAAGGGGAACAGCGCACCCGGAGAACAGTCATTCAAATCAACATACACACAAAAGAAAGAAACGCTTACTCAGCGCTGTTGAGAGCAGATTTCTTAATATAGGTTTAAGAAATTTTAAATTCATCTTTTGTTTTATTATTGTTAGGCACACATTCAGCACTGAACTTCAATGTGTAATAAAATCGCTAATGGGTTTATCTTAAAAGTGCTTCAAACATTGTATTGTCTGCACTTCGTAGTATCTAGCCTTGTGTTAAAGAGGATAGAGTAGAGTTTTCCCTATTACTCCTCCCACAAAGGCAGGCAAGCTTTAGTTATCTTGAGGACAAATTCTACTGACTGAGAAAATTACCAGGTATTTGAAATCAGCACAAAAAGTTGAATAAGCTTGTGCAGTTTCGTTGGATTTGGTCATAAAATAAGAAAAAAGCTCCAAGAACAGTGTTCCCCCTTAGGAACCATAGTCCGGCTCCTTGTGGAGCATTAGTACTCATTTTTCCCTTTATGCGAAGAATTAAGATATATGTAGGGGAATTTCAGGTTAGATATATGTTATCTTATCAAGACATACCCGTTTGAAACACCAAAAGCATCGGTTCTCCCTCCGATAACCAAATCTGTCAAGAAGATTTGGTTATCGGAGCGGCTTATGAGCAAAACTTCCTTTTTTCTTAAGGTGAAAACAAGTATAGTTAGCATAGCAAATCCACGTGGGTACAGTACTATATGGTTTTATCAAAGTTGCGACCTTTGGCAACCAGCAAATCTTCCAAGTTTGCCGCCGACCCAAGAAAAAAAGCAAAAAACAGATTCCTTTTTTTTTTTTTTTTTTTTTTTTTAAATCAAGAAAATTTTGTAGAACATTTATCTTTGTTAATTTTTACATGCCATCATTTGGTCAATCTCGGCCTTTCCAATTCGAAGAAAGGACCACCCGGTTGCACGTACGTTCACAGCAAAACGTTTTGTCAACGTTCAAAAACCGGTGAAACCGTACAGTTCAATCTCATACGGGCTGCAGTGCTACTACATTGGGAAAGTGAAAGGTGTCGTTTGCACTCAGAAATGGCTTTTATCGAGCTGTGATCGCGAGCAGTTCTGCCACGCCTGCCTGGCAGAGCCAAGGGATCCTCCCTAGAGTGTTTCCCGTTTCCGCCAAGGAGGGCAAGTAACGAGTTGGAAACGCAAATGACTTGTGGATTTATAAATCTCCTCGACTGGGATAGCTGCGACGAATGTGTTGTTCACATGACACAGTCCATAAATATGGTTAAATGAAAATTCACTTAGCTTAGGTTAAGTTATGTTACGTTAGGTGTTCAATTTAGCTGGGTTTTTGTTTAAGCATGGTGCAACAGTACTAGTGAAAGGCCTTGGGGAAACTATTTGATATTCGACTCGAAAATGTTCAGCCAAAAGCGCTATTCACTTCGAACTGATCTTTACAAAAACGTTCATTCACTCCAACAGACCGACATCATATTTCTAGACTTTTCTCGGGCATTTGACTGCGCACCACACCAGCGGTTATTACAAAAAGTGGAAACGTTGAATATGGACCCCTCACTTATATTTTGGATTAGACAATTCCTTACCAATAGAACCCAATCCATTGCAATTTCTAATCAGTTATCATCAAGCACTGATGTTAGGTCTGCCGTGCCCCAGGGCTCCGTGCTGGGACCCCTTCTTTTTCATATATATGTAAATAATCTCCCTGTTAACATTTCTTCATCGATTCGACTTTTCGCAGACGATTGTGTGCTGTATAAAAAGATAGTACATACAGCCGACACCTGTACACTTCAAAGCGATCTGAACTCTATTGCTTCATAGTGCAACAGGTGGCAGATGAGAATTAACATCAACAAAACAAAATGTATGACTGTGACAACAAAAAATCATCAATCAGTTGCAACTACGCTATCAATGGTGTCCCTCTGGAAAAGGTAAATAAATATAAATATCTGGGTGTTTTCATTTCCAATACTCTTAGTTGGCACAATCATATTAACTACATAGTTGGGAAAGCCAGTCGTTCCTTGGGATTCATCAGACGGAAGTTGTATTTAGCTCCCCCTGAAACTCATTTACTAGCTTTTAAGTCCTTTGTCAGTTCTCAGCTTGAATATGCCAGCATCATATGGTCTCCCCACCAGGATTACCTAATTTCCAAAATAGAAAAAATTCAAAACAAAGCCACGCACTTCATATATAGTGACTATTCACCTTACACGAGCGTTTCAGCGCTGAAACAAAGGGCTAATTTACCGTTATTAGACGCCAGGCGCAAAGTCTCCCGTCTGGCGTTCATCCAGAATATTTAATACTTTTATATTAACCTTAAGGAACGCTTATTGCCTCCACCTCATTGCATCCTTCCCAGACATGATCATCCTCACAAAATTTGCTTATCAAATTGCCGCACTAACCAATTCCACAACTCGCCATTACAGCTTGCCAATACAGAAGACACTCATTGCCCCACAACGTTGTAAATATAACAGATAAAAATTAATTCAAGTCTACATGTGAACGTTTGTTCCACCTTTCCCAGGAATGAGCCATAGGATGGTGTCCTTTTTGTTTCTCATGTGTGAAGATAGTTTAATTTCTTTTCCGGTAGCCTGGTTGGCACGATGCTCCCCGTTTGTGTACGAGTGTTCTTTCTTTTTTGAGTGGGTATATTATGTTATTTTCGTTTGGTACTTTTTCTTGAGTGGGTATATTTGCATTGTTTCTTTTCTTTAAAGGGGGACACCACCCAGAAAAATTAAAAATCTGCAAAAATTGGCGATTTTGAAAAATTGCATATTTACATCCACCAACATTTAGAGGGTATTCCTTGCAATTTTCACTGTTTTACACTGCATAGTTTATTTTTTATAAATTATTTTCTGTCCACTGAAGCTAAAGAAAATGTAGGGTTTGGAGCACTTTGAACACATTTTTCTCTGTTCCACTTTTTGGTATAAATTCAATTTTAGTCAATCTATCGTTCGATAATGGCAATACAGGGAAGGCTCGTTCTTCACTTTACCTGACTGAAATTTAATAAAGAATGCGGCTATGAAATTTTTTTGTCACTTTACGGATGTCTCTTATAAAAAAAAAAATGTTGATATTTTGTCGAAGACACAGAAAACCAAAAAGTTGACCAATTTTGCAGAAGAGAAAATTGATAGAAATAAATTACTTTTTACAAAAAGCTTTCCATAGCCACACCTCCTAGGCATTCCGCTAGATATCTAGTGAATAAAAATCTTGAATATTGCGATAGTTTTCCGACGATAGATTGACTAAACAATGTAGGCGTGTTGCTGATAGAAGCTGCTCTAATTTCCTTCCCACATAACCGACAGACCTGACATTTTGTTATTCACCCTCTAGCACGACCACTAGCCTACCCTGTAAATTTCATTAATTTTAAGCCAAGGGTTTAAAAGTTGACCCTCCCACGGGGTGTGTCCCCTTAAGCAAATATGTACGAAATTTATTAATTGAATATTTTTGTCAAAAACATGTACTCCCCGCTCATACAATGCCCGAAAGGGCGCTTTGAGGTATATTAAATAAATAAAAAAAAAAATTTGCTTCAAATTTAAAATCTACTACTCGCGCATGTCTATGCAATGCTTAAAGGCGGATGACCAGACTCGAG